AGGGGATCCCCATTACCTGTAAAGCGCTTTGAGTGGAGTGTCCAGAAAAGCGCTATATAAGTGTAAGCAATTATTATTATTATTATTATCTCAGGACACCTGCCACAGCAGAATTTCACAAAGAGAACCCAGATCCAAGAGTCATTCCTCGAAGTGTCCACTAGAGGGAGTGTCAAGACCAGTGGCCAAAGCCGACGTTATACTTTCAATGGCTCCCCAGTCCTGCATGATCTGTAGTGTTCAAGGGCACAGTTACTTCATCTCTAAATCAACTAAAGTAATATATTGGATCTTCTGGTTCTGAAATGTGTCTGTGGTGATGGAAAGTTATCTGACAACTACATTTTATAAATAATGCAAAATCTGCAGTTTGGGGTAAAATGAAAACCTTGAAAATCCCACACAAAGCATTTAACACGACGGGTCTCTGCTCTGAATTAACAACCTTTAAAAAAAAAAACACCCAATGGCTCATAGCTCAGGGTCCTAAATGAATGAATACTCGCAGGTCGTGTTCTGAAATGTACAATGTTAAGAGGTACAACTATAATTCAAAATTCTAAATGTCCAAACTCAGCGTCTAAAAAAGGATTCTATCCCTCAGACCCCCATTAAAATGGTTTCAAAGGATACAATGCAAGTACAAATTGACTGGGCTTTTTCCTCACTATTTTAGCCTTCATTATTCATGCACGCAAGTGGAAATCAGTAGGGTTTTGTAACAGCATTTAGAACGGCATGCAGATCATAGACAGCTGCTTAACAACCCTGCAGTGGACGTCGCAATCCATTAGAATCTTTTCTAAAAACCCACTAACCCAAGGACACTAATGCAATTCAGCGATGCCCACGAACACAGTGAATTTACGTCAGCAGTTTCACTAATCCGTAGTTTTTGAATGGTCGCTGTACGAAAAATAGTCAGAGCCTGCCAAATGGAAATTTACAAAGCTAGGAAAGTAAGTAGGTAGAGGAGTCAGCAAAGTCATTTCATACCACCCAGAGCACTTCCCACTTTTCGAATTGTACTCGCTCGAGTTCAGGAGTGGGGTTCGTGAGTGCCCGGCCTCGAGGATGAGGACACGGAGCGTGACAGTTCAGGGTGACTCACCGGACCTGGAGGATCCCACCGACTCACACAAGGACACGGGCAGAGCAGGAGTCACGTTTGTCTTAATGCCCCACCGGCTCAATAAGGCCAGGGGGAGGCCGTCCAAGCCGAGCTCCTTCCTCTTACACTGCTTACAGTGTTACAATGCACAGCAGCTCTCCACACGTGCTTTGGTCTGTTTCTAAGATGGAGTGAGCAATACTCCATAGGGTTGGTAGTTCTTGCAGTTTAATAATAATAATAATAATAATAATAATAATAATAATAATAATAATAATAATTCCTTACACTTATATAGCGTTTTTCTGGACACTCCACTCAACGTGCTTTCCAAGTAATGGGGACTCCCCTCTACCACCACAAAGCAGCCAGAGTGCACCGGTCCGTTCCCCACACACCAGCTCTCAGTGGGGAGGAGAGCAGAGTGATGAAGCCAGTTCAGAGATGGGGGTTATTAGGAGGCCATGATTGGTAAGGGCCAATGGGAAATTTGGCAAAGACGCCAGAGTTACACCCCTACTCTTTTTGAGAAACACCCTGGGATTTTTAATGACCACAGAGAGTCAGGACCTCGGTTTTACGTCTCATCTGAAGGACGGCGCCTGTTTTACAGTTTTACAGCCCAGAGAGAAATTTGGCCGGGACACCAGGGTAACACCCCTACTCTTTTAAAAAAAAATGCCCTGGGAGTTTTAATGACCAAGGAGTCATTAGATCAGTCATTTTATTGGAGTTTTAATGAGTCAGGACCTCGGTTTTATGTCTCATCCGGAGGAAGGCGCCTTTGTACAGTACAATGGCCCCAGGGTGAGCGCCCCCTACTGACCCCACTAACACCTCTTCCAGCAGCAGCCTCAGCTTTCCCAGGAGTCTCCCCTCCAGGTACTGACCAGGCTCACCCTGCTGGGCTTCAGTGGGCTGCCAGCTGGGAGCTGCAGGGTGATCTGGCTGCTGGCCTTATGAGCCGCCATTCTGCACCAGCAGCCTCTACACACCACCATCAGCTGGAGCCCTGGCAAATTCCTTGAACAACTGAACCGAGGGGGGACGTTTTCTGGAGGCCGGACGGACCAGGGCCTGAGGTTTAACCAGGATTTAACCTGGACATAGGGATGTTTTGTTTTAACGACCACAGGTGACCCCAGTCCTCGATTTATCTCCCTGGGAGCGAATCGACGCAGGGAAGCGTTCGGAACTGAATAAAGAGAAATGCTCCAGGCGTCGCTAGCCGCCCGCAGAGCTGAATCTGCGCTCAGTGAGCCACGCCCTGCCGCTGACGCACCTGGATGTACTTCATGAAGCGGTGACACTTCCCACAGCGCGACAGAGGCTTCCCTGTGGCAGCGATGGGGGAGAAGGACACTTCCATAAGCTCGTCCATGCCTGCCGGGAGGAAGAGAGCCGCTTTAGGTGCCTGGGGCGGGACGTCGCGGTCACAAACTCGCTGTGATCAATCGACGCATACAAATCTCACATCCACTCACACACGAGCACCACACGACAGCGCGTTCCACCGCCCAGCATTGTCATTAGCATTAGGAATCGGGGAAGGACAGGACACACTGGCAGCGCTCATCCTTGAAGTTGGCATCGTTCGACAAGGTCTTGGGGAGGACGGGGGTTCGGGGGGTTTGCTGGAGGGGCATGGGAGGGCGGGCTCACCAGCGATGGAGTCCACGAAGTAGTGGAACTTCCTCTTGAAGATGTCCAGCGTGTGCTGCAGGACCTGCTGGAAGTTGGCCTTGCCCTGGGCGATGAGGTTCAGCTGCCTCTCCACGGCGCTGCGGATGGTGGGGAGCACCAGCTCTGCGTCTGCGGCACACAGACACGCCGCGACGTCACCCCCCTTTTTCCCCAGGCGCAATCTGCCCCCCCCCCCCCCCCCGGCACCCGCCATCTTTCTGAACGGCTTCGGGTTCCGACTCCTAGGTTTCTATCCATCAGACTCCCATGAGGTTTTTTTTTTTCCATGGAAACTCCAAATCTGAATCACGAAACAGAGCTCTAGGAATCTACAGCACCCAGACAGGTGGCATGAAATCCATCAGTGTGTGTGACAGGTAACTGGCATTCACTGCCACTGTAACAGCCTGTGGGCCCTATAGGAAGGAAGTGATGCATTATTTGCTTAAACTTAAATCCTTACTATATAATGAAAGCACAAAGCACAGGCATTATACGCTGCTGCTGCCTGTGAGCTATAACGTCGAACACCTGGTCCATCCATCCAATAGTCACTTAGTCTAGCACAGGGCCACAGTGAGCTGGACCCAAGTGGACACTGACCACAAGGCAGGAGAGGAGCTGGACAGGGCAGCAGTCCATCACAGGGGGGCATACATATATTCTCATGTGAATCCGGGTTAAAATTTAGAGACGCCAATTAACCTGGTTTTTGGACTGTGGGAGGAAACTGGAGAACCTGGCCTGATCTTTCAGAAATAAAGCATGAAGCACCTCTTGCCAGAAGAGCAGCCCAAACCGCGTTGACACAGTGGCCATACTGAGCACCTCTCCACCCAGAGCGCTGGAGTGCAACTTATTCTAAAACCCTAAAACTAACAACACCTGCTTACAGTCTACCAAAACATTTAATTTGGGACATTCCAAAATAAACGTTAAAAACAGGATATTGAATAAAGAGCTAAGATTCTTTTAACAACATTTAATAACGTTCATTGGGAAACCTGGGCCAGCTGGATCGAATTTTTATTCAGGACCCTTCGATTCTCCTGTGCCCATGATGCAGAGCGAGAGGTAGTGAGGATCACAGGCAGCACGGTTACACACACGTGTTAATTCTTTGAGTTTGAGGTTCATTTTTTTATAGGAATCCCTCAATCAAAATGTAAACACTACTGGAAGTCTCTGCTATTTCTGCCATCATGATTTTCTCTCCCATTCATTGTTTCTCAAACCTCAGACAGCAACTTACCTATTTTGTAATATCCGTGCACTAGAACTATTCCCAGATTAGTTGGTTTGAGCCTGCGACCACTCTCCACAGTGACATAATTCCTCTGACAGACATTGTTGATGTGCACAGGGATACTAGCATCAGTGCCTGCAAAAGACACAGGTATAAGTAACAAAAGATGCACACCACAGCTACGAGACTGCATGTTTTATCTGAATGTAAGCGCATGCAGCTGGAAATATGAAAGTCAGCTCCAAGATTATAATCCAGTTGCAGTTTATGACTGCAGTACTTTCTTAACCATCAGTGTCCGTTGGAGTAATAATAATAATAATAATAATAATAATAATAATAATAATAATAATAATAATAATAATAATTGCTTACACTTATATAGCGCTTTTCTGGAAACTCCAATTAAAGCACTTTACAGGTAATGGGGACTCTCCTCCACCACCACCAGTGTGCAGCCCCACCTGGATGATGCGCCAGAACGCTCACCACACACCAGCTCTCAGTGGGGAGGAGAGCAGAGTAATGAAGCCAGTTTAGAGATGGTGATTATTAGGAGGCCATGATTGGTAAGGGCCAATGGGAAATTTGGCCAGGACGCCGGGGTTACACCCCTACTCTTTTCGAGAAACGCCCTGGGATTTTTAATGACCACAGAGAGTCAGGACCTCGGATTTACGTCTCATCCGAAGGAAGGCGCCTGTTTACAGTGTAGTGTCCCCATCACTATACTGGGGCATTAAGACCCACATGGACCGCAGGGTTAGCGCCCCCTGCTGGCCCCACTAACACCTCTTCCAGCAGCAACCTTAGTTTTTCCCAGGAGGTCTCACATCCAGGTACTGACCAGACTCACACCTGCTGAGCTTCAGTGGGCTGCCAGTTGTGAGTTGCAGGGTGATATGGCTGCTGACTCAGCACTCAGAGAGGAGAAACGACCGTGTGTGAAATCACTGGGTTTGTAATCTGCATCGGGCAGGAGGCTTGATTTAATCTGGCTTTAACAGAGCATATTTTTTAAAATGTGTTTTTTTAATATATGACCATTTGCTCAACGCAATCTTTTATGCCCGCTGAAAGTGGCCTGATGAGACACAAGAAGAGAGGAAAAAACAAAAGTTTTCCCTGGCCAAGTTTCTGAGTTTCTGAGTTCGCCTCCCACAGGTCCTCTTCCAGCTTTTGTGATTAAGACACTTAAATCAGAGGAAATCCCAGCTGGCGATTAAAAATTCATTTGCAGTTGAGGTCTGACGTGAAGCGAAGTGGCGGATTGTGCCGACCTGCTCCTCAGGCCCGGTCCCCCGCGTGCTCCCGGCCGGCGCTGACGCGGGGGGGACCAGACCACCCTCTCGCCAGGCGCTTGAGTCCCCCCCGGCCCTCACCTATCCCGTGCTTCTCCATGAGCGAGATGAGCTCGGCTTCGGTGAGGTAGTCGGGGGGGCTGGTCTGCTTCTCGAGGAGCTTGATGTCGTCCACGGCGAAGGCGTCCCCCCTCTCGCAGGCCGGCAGGTTCTCCTCCTCGGGGATGCTCTGCCAGGGCATGACCTCGGTGAACCCTGCAAGAGGAGGCGGGGTGGTGAGCTACCTCACACGTGCCACGCCTGCGGACTCACCAGGAGCACGGGGGCGACTGTGTGAGGGCGTGTCATTTCAACATGTCATTTCCCCGGCGGGTCGGCGGCGGCGGCTCTGTGGCTCAGGATCTGTGCCTGTGGCTGGGAGGTTGCTGGTTCAAATCCCACGGCCAGCAGAGGAATCCTACTCTGTTGGGCCCCTGAGCAAGGCCTTTAACCCCAACTGCTCCAGGGGTGCTGCATAAATGGCTGACCCTGTGCTCCGACCCCCTGTCTGTGTCTCATGGAGAGCAAGCTGGGGTCTGTGAAAAGACACATTCCTAATGCAAGAAATTGTATATGGCCAGTAAAGTGATCTTATCCTATAACGCGGTCAGCTGGCTTTCCTATGTCTTTCCTGTGTGAAGGAGGCAGGAGAAAAGTGGGGTTGCTGACACTAACCCACATAATCATAAGGAGATCAACTCAGGCAGAAACCCATCGCAGGACCCTGGAACTGTGTGGCAACAGCACTAACCACAAGCAGCCCTCCTTGACTGATTAAGTCAGGCCTACTGAAACATCACTGAGTTCACTGTCCTGCATGCACACAACTAGGAGGTCATATTTACATATTAAGCAGATTAACAGCTTACCCTGACTGAAACCACAGATAGATAAGAGGAAACATGGATTTGTAAGACAAAACAGCGTGAACCTGCGATACCATCTACTCCAAGCCTAGACAAGAGTTGCATGGCTCGAGAATTTGAAAGATCTTTCACCGGGTCAAACAGACCAAACACACTGCTGACATACAACGGGACAGGAAAAGAAAATTATTTCTTGCAGCCCAAGAAAATGTCAAGAACAGATTCAGTGAAACTGCAACATAAAGGAGAAAAGACAAAAAGCGTTGTATCATTGTGAGTATTTCTAAGTCGGACTGTGAAAGCAGATCTTCATTCAGACTTTAGGAAATGCAGCTGAGTGAAAATACAGAGGAAATTCATGAAATGTATGACTTATTAAAGACTATTGTACAACACAAGAGCCTGCCAGGAAAGTACAGATGTCTTCAAAGACTCTTCCAGGAACTTAAGGTGCAAGTGCAATGTTGTGACTAACATCCTGCAGCATGTTATTCACGTGGGTTAAGTGTGAGTAGGGTGGGAGGAACTCAAGCAGGCCTTACCAGCAGATATCAACGTCTTCCCAGTACAGATGAAAGTCTCTGTGCCGATACTGAAGACAATGGTGGTCTGGAGGTACTTGCAGTCATGACTAACTGTGGCAATGAAGTGCCGGGTGATGTACTCATACAGACGCCAGCCATCGCTTCCTGCGCAAGGAGGAGAAGAGGAGAAAAGAGACTATCAGAAAAAACAAAGACAGCTCCCGGGGCAACTCAGGCAAAAAACATTCTGGCCCGGACTGCTGCCATGCCTGTTTAATTGTAGAAGGAAAGGGTATTTTGAAAACCACAACAAAAATGCCAGCAGCCATATCACTCTGCAACTCACAACTGGAAACCCACTGAAGCTCAGCAGGTGTGAGCCTGGTCAGTACCTGGATAGGAGACCTCCTGGGAAAAACCTAAGGTTGCTGCTGGAAGAGGTGTTAGTGGGGCCAGCAGGAGGCGGTCACCCTGCGGTCCATGTGGGTCCTAATGCCCCAGTATAGTGACGGGGATGCTATACTGTAAACAAGACACCATCCTTCAGTTGAGATGTAAAACCGAGGTCCTGACTTGTTGTAATTAAAAATCCCAGAGCGTTTCTCGAAAAGAGTAGGGGTGTAACCCCGGCGTCCTGGCCAAATTTCCCATTGGCCCTTACCAATCATGGCCTCCTAATAATCCCCATCTATGAATTGGCTACATTACTCTGCTCTCCTCCCCACTGAGAGCTGGTGTGTGGTGAGCGTTCTGGCGCACTATGGCTGCTGTCACATCATCCAGGTGGGGCTGCACACTGGTGCTGGTGGAGGGGATCCCCATTACCTGTAAAGCGCTTTGAGTGGAGTATCCAGAATAGCGCTATATAAGTGTAAGCAATTATTATTATTATTAAAAATCATGAACCTCTTCAGAGAGGAAAGAAAGTTGTAAGTTATTATGTGTCCAGAGGGAAAATGGAGGAGGCCAGTGAAGTTTGACTTCTTAAAAAAAACAAATGAGTCACTTCATAAATTGGAACAGGTCTAGGGGGATTTCTAAAATCAGACACTGGTTTAAGCGATTAAAGACCCGTACATTTCTAAAAGCTCCTAAAACAAGACATGTGAATAAGAGCACATTTGCACTTGGTGGTAACTTGTGAGTTTTTGATTTTGCATGTCGTATGCCAGCACTAGATCAGAGACTCCCAGAGAGCGGTGGTCTTCGTTTCATGAGAAAGACCATGAGGAAAGGCCCAAACTGATAGGAGACAAGCCACTCTCTCAAGGTGAACAGAAACCACCGCAACAAGACAAAAAGACAGATGCAGCGAAAATGCAAAGTTAGAAAACACACATTTCATTGACATTACACCAAGCAGCTTGAGTGATTGGGTCAAAACAAGGACAGGCCTCATAAAGAAGGAGAAAAAGAAAAGAGATTTGGTCACGTAATGAATACCATGGAGTGTAAATCGCAGAAACTGCTGTTCAACATTTGTCGCCCTCGGAGCAACAGCGAAACTCCAGAGTGGGAAATGTTTGAGGAACAGTGTCAGCAAAGACGGCACTAATTTGACTACCTAGCTCGTTCTCTGAGGCCGACCTCATTGGGGTGATAGGTGGGTGGTCTCCTGCGTCACTCCCTTTCCTGGGATGATTCAACCCCTCTGACAGCAGTGCCCTAACCTGTGACGAAATAAAACTCACGTCAAAACAAAAAAGCAACAAACAGGAAAACTGTCAAATGAATTTTCCAGCTACTCAGACCGGTTATTATATCTTGGTAACAAAATAAATTCATTGACATTATGAAAAAATATTAAAAATTCAAACTAAGCACAACATCGTGGACTTTGTGAAGGCACTGTAAGTTGCCATGACAACGTGATGCGGCCCTTCCTGCTCACTAGTCAATTTAATGACTGATGTACTGTGATTTACGAGTTAGTAAGTACAGGTTGTGCAACAGACATTTCACTGCAGAAATGTGCCAACGTGATCTGCATCCAGAGTTAAAAAATAAGTAGTATTTGTCAGCAAAACTCTCAAAATTGAGAGCAATATTTCTATTGGATTAAAAGACATGCATTCACAAGCCAGCTTCTTTACAATATAATAAGTCCACTTCACATCACCTGATTTTTTGTTGCCTCGTTTTTGAACAGAAACTGGAAAGTTTGTCTATTTTGTGATGTAAATTGGAGGCGTAACAAGTAACTGTGCACATTTTACTTTTATTGTGGTTTGAAATGCAGTTGTCAATGCCGATTCTTTCGAACCCCGAAATATAAAAATAGCACCGCAGTTCTCCTTTAACTGTAATAAAGACCCCCCCGTGTAGTTAAGGTTTCTTAAACACCTCCGAACTTTCTGTACTCCTTAGGAAAGCAAACTGTTTCATGATCAATAGAGATTTCTGTTGCTTTTATTATTATAATGAATAATTATCAAAGATTCAAATTCCAAATAATAAAGCCGGCATAAATATATTCCCCAAAGCAGCAATGAAAAGTTGCCTATCGACGAGGAAAAGTCTAACACAGGTCAACCGGAGAAAAGGACACTTCAACTGTAGCAGCATCAGACCAGGGTTCACCACCAGCTGTTCAGAGCTCACCGTGTCTGCCCAGAAGGGGTTATTAGCCTGCTGTCGTAAAGTTCCTTTGAGGTCAAAATTTTCGGGGTAGTGCGTGGTCTCGGTACGGGGGTAGCTGATGTAGCCCTGGGTGTACAGTCGCTCTGCTACCTGCATGGTGTGCTGAGGCCCCATTCCTGTCCAAACACAACAACGGGGAAGGGGGTGAGGGAAGAGAGGGGATGAGACAGAACAACCAGTCAAGCCTGTTAAAGAATGTGCACGAGTGCCACACAATTCCTTCTGCAGTGCTAACCCCGCTGCTGCAACGGAGCTGTTTATCGAAGCCCAAATGCTATTGAGCTCCCTCCAGGACTTGAAAAGACAGTCCGTTGCTTTATGGATTGGACATAATGTAGGGGGCATTACTGGTGTGATTGGACATGACTGTCCATGTCAGCATTCAAAGAAGAGGGCACTGCAGGAGCAGTCCTGAAAGGAAGCCGAGGACAGTCCACTGCGTGACATACCCAGAGCTGAGCTAGCCACTCGGAGCATTTCCACTGTATTCAGAGCCAGGGGTCTTTGCTTGGCCTTCTCCTTTTTGGTCACAGACTCTACCTGGAAGTTGAACACAGGACACCAAGAAAAAATTGCTGTTGCGATCCAGCCGTTATGTGAAGACACCGATACAGACTTTCTCAGGTGGGTGCAATCACTTCTCAATTATCACAGCGGGGCCATGTGAGACACGCTGCACAGCAGTACACTGAAGAGCCTTCACAGTGTTACAATGCACAGCAGCTCTCCACACGTGCTTTGGTCTGTTTCTATGATGGAGTGAGCAATACTCCATAGGGTTGGTAGTTCTTGCAGTTTAATAATAAT